ACAGACGCTGTCCACTCATGCTGGTAGTAGCTGCTAGAGTCACAGCCGAGAGGTATCGCGAGCAGGCAGTGCAAAATGCGTTGGGCATAGAGACGAACTTGAATTCCGGTTCCGTAGCCACCCCTCGTCGGCCTTACACAAACTGTGCCCTTTGTAAAGTCCCAGTTTCCTGACCTGTTACACACGGAGACACATTGTGCCTCCCAGTTTGGAGGGTTGATGGAAGAACCAATAAGATGGGAATATAAAGTTTCTTTGGTGTCGGGATCCTTAAGAAAGGCCGGTTACCACTCTTTATCCCAGCTACAGTCCAAATACACCAAAGCCGTAAGTCTGCCTCACAGATCCCGAGTCTCTGGGTTTGGGGCAAGCCTAGGCAAGTTGGAATTAGTGCTCAGGTGAAGCCGAAGGTCGTGTTTTGGATGGCAAGATGGTAAAAAGGTGTTTGCAACTGCAGATGTTCAATTTGCCTAACTAGAGTTGTTCAATACAGTCGGCACGGTAGAAACTCCCAGGAGAGTTGCTAAAGGGTGTCTGCTCTACCCCTGTGAGTACTGTTTCTGAAGAAGCCAAATTGGGATTTGAGCATTTGTGTTTTAAAAAGCCTTTGCTACGGCTTGGTTATGTGTTCCTCAAAGGTTCCTGTGCTGACGCTTAGCCTCCAGGGCAGTGGCGTCACCTCGGTGGGAGCTTTAGAAGGTGGGGCCCAGAGGAAGGTTATTAAAACTGGAGATTCCACACTAGTGAGTGGATGACGTCTGTCTTTGAAGAGTGGGTGATTATAATGGGATGCCACCTCAAGTCTATGGCTTTCTTCACCCTGTTGGGACACAGGTAGAACCAGATGGTGGCACCAAGGTTCTTGGACCCTCCACCACCAGAATGTTGAGCCTCATTGTAAAGTTTCCGTGTCAGGCAGGCTGAGGCCTTCTGCTTGATTACTCTGACGTGCAGACAGCCTTGAGGAAGAACTCTTCACAGACTTAACGATGAGTGTTTTCATTTCCTCTGTGAAATGAAATGGCACAAAAAGCCCACGGCGAGAGTCCTTCAAAGGTAACTGCACTTCCTAATGTACCCATTTTCTTTCTTTTTTTTTTAAAGAAAAATGTGAATTTATTAATACCAAGAACAGAAAAAACAAAGGAGGAGGTAGAAGAGATTATAAAAATTGTTATTCACATATGTGCCAAGACCGAGGAAAGCACTTTAAAATCTGTGATCTTTTTAGTTCGCACAAAAGGTCTTCAGCATTTTCCATCATGGCAAAAGTGAGGCTCAGACAAGTCAGTTTCCTAAAACAACATGTGTTGTGCAGAGCCAATTCATGCATGGCCTAACCAAAGTTGAGTTACAGCAATAAAGCCCGATGTGATGGCCAAAGTAGCAAAGTCTTGGCATTTGGCTCTGAAGTGCTGCTTTCCTTGGTGGCCTTGTTTTCATTGTTTGTTTGTTGATGAAAACAACTGTGTGGAAATTCATATGACTTCTGCTAAACTGTGTCCACTGTACTGTGGCTGTTTGTCTATGGCGTTCACGGAGGCGTGACACATTTCGGAAGAAAACGTCCTCTCTCGGTGCAGTCTGAAACTTGTTCCAATGTCGGGAACACAGGAGTGGGAAGGAAATAGTACACCTGCACTGTACTAGTGGGAGCTACACGTGGAAGTGGCTTCAGTTTATATAAAAAAAATCATCTTAACAGATTTTTTCTGATGGCATGCATAGAAGACTGGCCATCCCAGTTCAGAGCTCATTCTCATGAGGGCTCCATGTTCTCAGAGTCCAGGGGAGGCCTGACCATGGTTATAAAATGCTTTCTGGTTATATGAGTCGGCACATTTCGTGGAATTGTAATATCCCAGGCCACCTTGATTCGCAAAGAAGAATGTAAAGAGTAGAGACCCAGATAATTCTAAGGCCATTTTCTAATGAGTACTCAAACCCAAGACTTTGCACATCTTGGAAAGTATAATTGAGTCAAAATTAGTCAAAATAACAACCCTCAGTATTTCTGAGGTATTCTGAGACACGATTTATGTTGGCTAATTGCCCTTGCCTCTTATGAATGCTGGTCTCCAAATGCCACCTGTCTGAAAGTAAAACATTTTCCTTCTAAAGCTGAAGGTATTTACTCTACAATGGAGGACGGGAAAATTGAAAAGAAAAGAGAAGCCACATGTCTGATAAACGCAGGGCAGGCAGTGATGGGGAAGTTCTGATGTGATGGGGAGTTCCAGAGGAAGTACAGACCGTCTGTCTCTCCTGAGAAGACAGTGCAGAGCGGCCTGGGGTGTTGCAGTTCCGTAGCTGTCAAGTCCCTAAAACTTGTGGTTTCAGCATGCAGTGGAGTCTCCAAAATGGAATCACACAGGAATTCCTGAACGGCAGCATCCTTTTACACAGTACGCTCCTGGGGTCTTCTCGGCCTGATCCGGCAAGGGCATGCGTGGTTAGCAATGCTTGACAAAGGAACACACACCTTAGAGTCCTTCTCCTGGCCTCGTGCCATGCAAACAGATGCTGGTCATGTGTGCATTGCCCCTGTGTCATGGATCTCTGTAGAAAGCACATTCATGTGATCGCTGTAGTGAAGGCAGAGAACGGAGGAGACAAACTTGCCCCCCATTTCTGGTAAGGAGCATTTGTGCATATCACTATCCAATATGCTGGATGCTAGCCAAGAATTGCTCCCCCCTTTGCCTCCCCTGATTTTCCATAGCTGAGACCAAGGTGCTAGATACTAGAAAAAATACCAAGCAAACTTAATCTTATCATTAACTTCTAAGGTTTGAAGAATATCAGGAGGAAAAACTTGAATCAGAAGATACCTGAAAGCTGAGTATGGTACCATACCTGGCCACCCCAGACCCCCGGAGGCTGAGGCAGGAAGGACTTGAGTCCAAGACCACACGGGACTAGGCAGCAAGGCCCTGTCTCACAAACAAAGACAATGTAAAGGAGAATGGCAGTGTGAATCACCAGACAGCAGGAAACACAAATTCCTCATCCTATAGAGTCAGGTCAGGGAATGGACAACCATCCTGGTTAACTAATATCCTAGTTCACCACCTGAGGGCCTAGGAGGCTGAGGCAGGAGTCCAAGGTAACAGGCGGTCTGGACTACATAGTGAGACCCTGTCAGTGAAAGGAAGCAAAGAGGGAAAGGAGGGAGGAAGAGAGAGAGAGAGAGAGAGAGAGAGAGAGAGAGAAGAAGGAAGAGGAGGAGGAGGAGGAGGAGGAGGAGGAGGAGGAGGAGGAAAGAAGGGAGAGAGGGAAGGAGGGACAGAATATCCTGGCTAATAAAGACTGCCCACCCTATAGGTGGTGGATCACTACTTTCCTAAACATTAAACCATCACCTGGAAGGACATTTTCTGAGTGCCTACTAGCTGACAGACAGGGGTGATACATGTGTTTCTCCTTGTCCAAGTTTTCCCACAGAACCAAGAGATAGATACTAACCTCATTAAAAGAAAATGGACAGACTCTCGGAAGTTCAGTGACAGGCCCCACTCAATGGCTCCTAACTGATCCAGACACTGTTGGGATTTGGGCCCAAGCTCACCTGTCACAACTATTTGATGATCAGATTATTTGATTATATGGAAGAATGAGAGATCTATTGAGTATAATTCGATCCAGTCTTGTGCAGTGATTCAGAAGTGATTTCAAGATCTTTCCATACCTCCATCATGAGGGTAGCCATTCGATACTGATGGATGCAGATACTGCCTTTCCTGCTTGTGTTATGGGGCTATTTAAGTTAACTCGGCTTTTAAAATACAAGGTTGCCTATATAGGCAGAAATCCAGTAAAACGCTAGTAAAACAGAGGTTAGGTACAAAACCAAATACTTTGATTTTTAATTTAAGTTCTCTGCAGGTGCCATTCTTCTTCCTGGGGGCTCCCTGCCTTAGGAAAAGAAGAACTGTCCATTCTAAAGAGTAAGCGTCCAGTTAGAAAACATAGCTGAAGGACTGAAATCAAATTTCTCTAAATTCAGCTCCCTTTAGCCTTTGGTTCTTCCCCCCATGAAATAGCCTTGCATATCTCTGGTGAGATGTGTCTCCCGCTCTGGGAAATGCTGAGAAAAGAAGCTACAGCTTTTCCAGTCCAGCAGCAATGGGCCCTGATCTGCAACCATATTAGCTCTACTCCGGTATTCCCTGGACAAAATTATAAAATCTTAATGACAATACATCCAGGTCAAGATTACAGTATAAATACGGTTATAAAGTACCATCTGTGAAACTTGGCCTGTTGTAGCTAAACATACTTCCATTTTTTTCCCCTTTGACTTTATTGATCCAAAATAGTGACCATCTATAGTGGATTCGTATGACTTGGTGATTACCAGTCAAAGATGGAGACATACTGCACTGGTCTTGGCTGTGCGCTCTTAGGCAAGTAGATTAACCTCTCTGTGCCTCATTGCATTTTCAAAAGGGCAACAGCAATGCTGCCCATCTCACTGGCTTCCAGGGGGACTAAATGAGGTGCTGTTGTATCTAAGAGCTCTCTAAGAGGTGGATGTTGTTACTCTCACTGGTTGGAGGTGATGATATTTGGCAAAGATAGGTAAAAACTGATCTCATATGAAGTAAAGACAATCAGCCCAGATGATGAAACATAATAACAATAAATAAAATGGAGGTGGCCCTCAATGGTAGGACAGCCTATGGTTTCACAAGAGGAATACCCTGGACTGACGGCAGGCTCTGAGGTGGGAGATGTTGGGGCGAGCAGGCCTGTCCTGATATCAGAAGCTCCTGCTGGGATGCAGGGGCGGGGTGGGGGGAACAGCTGTGTGGCTGGGAATGTTCAGAGAAGAACTCCACTGTCTCATTACTGGATGCGGGAAGGGAAGCACGGAGCCATGCAGAAAGCCCAGAGAATGACAGGGGTCTCCGGGAGAATGATGGAGGGGTGGAGCAGAACTCCCGTTCTAGAAGAACTGACAAGTGACAGGATTCCAGCGAGCTGTCTTTCCTTTTCAGCTTTATTCACGGTGACGGTCCCTAAGGAAGTGTACACGGTAGAGTTTGGCAGCAACGTGAGCCTGGAGTGTGATTTCGACCACAGGGAATGCACAGAACTCGAAGAAATAGAAGTCAATTTGCAGAAGATAGAAAACGATACCGCTTTTCCGAGTGAGAGAGCCACCCTCCTGGAGGAGGTGCTGCCCCTGGGGAAGGCCTTGTTCCACATCCCCCATGTCCAAGTGAGGGACGCAGGACAGTACCGCTGTCTGGTCATCTGCGGGGCCGCCTGGGACTACAAGTACCTGACAGTGAAAGTCAAAGGTGAGTGTTGGCAGGTCATCGCTGGCGGAGGGTTGTGCCGGCTGCACGCCATAGCATGCTGCTCTCAGTAGCTCAATTGAGAGAGGATGCAGTGGTTGTTTTTTACCCTTTCGGCCCTTTGCTTTTTGGAGGAGCCCACCACTCAGCTCTCAAATACATCACACACGTCGAGGCTTATTCTTACTTAAGAAGCCTGACCTTAGCTCGCCTTATTTCTAGCCAGTTTTTCTTAAACTAATCCGTCTACCTTTTGCCTCTTTCTCTATTTTATATACATTTCTTTATTTACTCTGTGGTTTGCTGGTAGGTAGCTGGGTGGCTGCCCCATGATGTCCTCCTCCTCTGTCTTCTCTCACTCCTCCCTCTCTTCTTCCCAGAATTCCCCTATTCTCTCTGCTTGCCAGCCCCACCTATGCTTTCTCCTGCCTTGCTATTGGCTGTTCAGCTCGTTATTAGAGCAATCAAGTGTTTTAGACAGGCTGAGTAACAAAGCTTCACAGAGTTAAACAAATGTAGCATAAAAGAATGCAACACATCCTTGCATGATTACACACATGCTCCACAGCATAAACAAACGTAACTCAACTTCAACTAATGTTCCACAACAGAGGCAGCTACTTCAAAGTGGGCAGAAAAGGTACCTGAATAGAAATATTTTTTGATATCTGCTATAAGTAGAGGTAAAAGGGTTAAAGTAGCAGACACAGTGGAGCTAGAGGAAGTCAGGCAAATGAGAAGACAGCCTGCCTCATCCTTGGCTGGACTCGGAACCCTCTTGTGTGGGAAGCAATGGAGGAACCTGTTGATTCCCAGAGAACCTGTTGATTCTCTAAGAGAAGCACACGTATGTGTGTCTAGGTCTTCACGGTCCCATCTCTTTCCCAAATTGATGAACCTGAGCACGTACCAGCCAGACAAGCTTTTAGGGTTCCCCCAAAACACCCCCTCTTTCTTCTTCTTCTTGAATGTTCTGACTCCCTTTTTATTGTCTTGAGGCTTAAAAGCTCCACAGAATCAGACAAGAGTTAAAAGAAATTTCCAGGGCCCACAGAACCACGTGGCTGCTGCCTGCTACAGGGCAGCTAACAAACGCTTCACTTCCAGCAAAACTGAAGGATGATGAGGACCCTCACCTAGAGATAACCGCCGATAACCAAAAATTAGCGTTCTTTGCCTGATGAACCATGTCTTTCAAATTGCTTCCAATTCCTAGCCCAGCCAATTCATGTGAACAAGATTCATTAGTCCTTTTAGCTACAAAAATTAAAAATACAAATAAAATTATTGTTGACTTCTACCTCATGGTAGAATAGTTTTAAATATAATCTATATGCATTTTAAGATTGACGAATAATTTGAATGATACATTTCCAATACACTTTTATTTTTCACACTTAATAATTGCCAGTATCCAGGATAGTTTACATTTTGATAATATGTGTTGATAATGGTAATGAAATCACATTAAAAAAAAAAACTTTGGACACCTGGAATCCCATAGTAGTAAGGAAAAATTTAATTTCAATAGCTGTACATATTTTGTTGTTAAGTGTAAGACAGTTAAGAATGATAGATCAGAGAACTACCAGACATATATGTGTATTTGTAAGAATGAAGCAATTATTTGTTGAAAATACAAATATGTATGTATTATGTCCATGGGATGAAACTGAAGACATGAGAATGAGCTTCCCGGTGGATGTTCGATTACTTATTGTGCTCATGACAAAGACATCCTCTGGGGGACGTAGGAGCTTCCACTTATAGATGTAGTTAACTATGAGTTAGGAGCTAACTGATTGCTAGTATGAGAAAAATAGACGTTGCTAAAGATAAAAGGTGGTGTTTTCTGTTGGTCTAGTCACAATGGAAGTCAGAATAAAGGTTCCCCAGAAAACTAAGAATAGTACTATCGTTTGATCCAGCTATGGTACTCCTGAGTATATATTCAAAGAACTCGAAGTCAGCACACCATCAAAGTGCCAGGATTATTGTAGCACTACTCACAATAGCCAAGTCACAGTCAGGTTGCTCCCAACAGATGCATGCGTAAAGAAAATGTAGCATACCTGTTTAATAGAGTATTCAGCTATAATGAAGAACAAAACCCTGTTGTTTAAAGAAAAATGACTGGAACTGGAAATCATTGTGTAAAGAGACATAACAGAGACTTGGGAAGAAATGTATCACATGTTTGGTCTCATCTCGGGAATCTAAGGGAAAAGGGGATTGCCAGAGGAGAGAAAAGGGTGGAGGCGGGGGAATATAACTGAGGGTAATGGAGGGGTGACTGTCATCCAAGAACATTTAATGCATTTATGAAAATCTCAATATGATCTATATTTTATACAGATTATGTATGCCATAAAAAGGATGACAGGATCTTTAAAAAGTCACATTTCACAATGATAAGCATTAGCTCCATAGAGAGAAATGATTCTAAATGTGTGTGAATCTGACAATATAACGCCACCATAGTAAACGTCAATTGGAAAGTTGGATAGTCCTCCCTTGGGGCCCCCACTCTCGGTTATCTTTTATTACTTTCTTAAAAATTATTTTTATATTTTGAGATTATAATATAATTATATCATTTCAACCTTCCTTTTCATCTCTCCAAATCTTCCCATATACCCATCTTTTTCAAAGTCATGGCCTCTTTTTTCATTGTTGCTACATATGTGTGTTGTGTGTGTATATACATATATATCTCTGCATACCCGAATACAACCTGCTTAGTCTGTACAATGTCACTTACATGTGTGTTTTCAGGGATTGCTGTTTGGTATTGGATAGCCAGTTAGAGTGCTCTGCCCTGGGGACAACTGTCTTCCACTCTGGCGTTCCTTAGTTGCCTGTAGCTCTTTGTGTAAGGTTGTGGCCTCCTAGCCTTTGTCTTAATAAATCTTAGTTCTCTTTGTTCAAAAACAACTGGAAGACAAAATGAAGAAGATGACAGCGATCATGACAAATGCGTGTACGTGTGAACTTTTGATTCATCTCTGCTATAACGGATAGGATAAACTATGCAGCGGAAGACGCGAATAACACACTAAACTGTCCTGACCTAACTGATAACATCTAGAACACCAATCTCAGACTACCTGTTGTTTCTAGGTTCGTGCCTAACACTCACCACGGTAGTTATCTAGCAAAGTTGCTAGAACAGACGCTTCATTGAGCAGGAAGTTGGAACTCTTAGACTTTTAAAACTGCTTTCACCACTGAAACTCTAAAATTTGTTCATCCTTTCTCAAGAAAAGTCTAGCTTCCCTATTATGCATTGCTGGGGATGATGCCTCTGTAGCCACTTCCCACATGAAAACGAGGCTGTGGCAGCATTTTTGACGGTTTAAGGAACTGTCTTATCATAACTGTTAGCTGTCACTGCTCATCATTGGACCCAGCGTCTGACATGAACAAATTAGGGAGGGGCGGTTTATTTGAGATCCTGCTTTCAGCGGTTCCAGTCCATCACGTGCTGGAGGGTACAGCACACCAGAATTCCCGTCATGGCTTGCTTTCTCTTTAGTTCATTTGGGTCCCCAGCCCATGGGATGGTACTTCCCGTGTTCAGGGTAGATCTTCCCACCCGCTAGTTAATTCTCTCTGGAGAAGTCTTCACAGACACACCCAGGAGCATTGTTACCAATATCCTAGGAACTTCTCATTCAGTCAAGTTGACAAGATTAACCACCTCAACAAATGTTTTCACTTCAAGATTGCTTTTGCTTCAATGATTTACTGAACGTCTATGTCAGGAACTAGTTCCCATTTAATAAAAGCCAGTGCTTGCTTCCCCCTCATCACCAAAAAGTGCACAGTTTATTGTCAACACTTCCAGCTATTTACATGTGGTGTTACTATTTGTTACTTTCCAGATATGACCGAAGATTGCTGGATAGTCTTTGTGCCTTCCTGGCCCTCCAAATATCTCCTTTTGGTTTCAGATATCCACGTTCTAGAAAGTAGGGAATCTCATGTGAATAATTCACTCAGCATATACTGCTCAGAACATGTCTCTATTGAGAAGTAATAACAAATATGCCCAACTCTTAATTATTACAGCTCATACATAGATCCTGATTTTCCTCCTCCTAATCTCAAAAATAACCGAGGGAAAGGGGAATTTTGAGTAAACTGTCTACTGATGGTGTCTGAAAAAGTGATCTATTGAGTTATTTAGTGGTAATCATGTCTCTGTCCTCCAGCCTCTCTCCAGCCCCTGATTATGGGACAGTTTAGAATACAAGAAGCTACAGGGTATGGCATCTTAGCATAGTTTGTAAGATGTAAGTTTGCAGCCTTCCTATTTTCAAACATTGGGTCTACCAGACTTTGTTCTTCTGAGTTTGGACACCATTCTCAACATACCTGTCGTCAATTAACCCCAACAAATATTGGAGATATCAACAAAGCATCTTTGTTGTATTATATAAACTAAACTATTCAGTTTATGCAAAATAATGTACCTGGGACACAGAAAGTATTTTTAAAGATACGTATATATATCCTAAGGTTATCATTTTATTTACTCTTGCATTGAGTAGATTGCATTCTATAGAATAAAACGTCTTTTTTTTCCCTATTGTCCAGCTTCTTACAAGAAGATAGACACTCGGATCCTAGAGGTCCCAGGGACAGACGAGGTACAACTCACCTGCCAGGCTAGGGGTTACCCCTTGGCAGAAGTGTCCTGGCAAAACGTCAGTGTTCCTGCCAACACCAGCCACATCAGGACCCCTGAAGACCTGTACCAGGTCACCAGTGTTCTGCACTTAAAGCCACAGCCTGGCAGAAACTTCAGCTGCATGTTCTGGAATGCTCCCATGCAAGAGCTTACTTCAGCCATCATTGGTCCTCTGGGTAAGTGCAGTACCCACTTCCTAGTCCTGCAACCAGAGTTCAGGTGAGAAACAGATAAGAAGGTGTTATAGATCCTTCAAGAGGTCAAGGTAGAATCTAGAAGAATTGCAAGGATAGAACAGGACAAAGATCTCTATTGAGCAAGAGTTTTCACTGCTGGAGAGGCTACCGGGAGAAGGTAGCTGCGGGGACAAACTTGTTGCAGTGCCGAATCTGAGCAGCTTCAAGGGAAGTCTGTGAATGGCAGGTTCCCCAACCATACCTCAGGTCCTCCATAATCCTACTGGTGTCTCCCATTGACTGAACCCAGCAGGAGGTTGGAGAACAAAGATAGCTCTCTACAGGTCTCTTCCAGATAGGTCAGCATCTGGATCTCAGAGCATAGTGTTACAGTGTAGAAAACAATCTGGAGATGCAGTAGAAATATCCCACGTGATTCATGTCCAGAGCAACCAATGAATAGCGTGGGTGTTGTTCGGCTGGCTGTACTGCTGGCTAACTGGGTGTGTGGCATCGCTGAGAAACTGATCTCTTACAAAAATCATTCGTTCTGACTGGCTAGTTTTAGAAGGGGATTTCATCCTTTTGAATTTCTGTACCAGCAAAATTTGAACCTATTTGGACAAACCAGTAACTTTTTGTGCCAGGTACGAACATTCATTTGATAACTAAAAGCTGTCCACTAGGAAAACAATCATTTCATAAGAGACAGAATTTTTTCCACCACATATATAATTCTTATTGCTCCCATATCAAACTGCCACAAATGTAAAGGTTCAAAACAATAAAACTTTATTATCTTATAACTTCTAGGGGTTTGAAGTCTAACACGGGTTTCACTGAGTTCTAGTTGAGGATTATAAATGTTCTAGGAGATAGTGCATTTTCTTGCCCTTTCCAACTCCATCGTCTATATTACTTGGCTTGTGACTGGTTCCTGCATCTGCAAAGATAAGAGTCACATCACCCAGCCCTCTGCCCCTTTTATCAGACTCTTCTATGACCCCCTCTTTCTCTTGAGCCTTGGGCTTTATTAGATGCTTCTAGCTATGTGTCCAAAGAGGTTGAGATTTTGTTGCTACAGAAATCTAAAGGATGAGATTCACTTTCAGAACTAGCTAGCATGGCCAGTCAAGTTCTGAATCATTTAATAAGAGACTGACTTTCCTGGAAATGTCAGCCAAGCCAGTTAACTGGAACCACAGCCAGCAAAACGACAGAGATCCTACTCACTTACAGCGCAGAAAAATGCGTCCGGTGAAAAATGCCTGCTTGGTCAGTGTTGGACAGAAGGGAAGCTTCGTTCTGTCCTGGCAGCATTGTCAAGAGGATCTTTGATCAGCAGTGATCCTCTCGCCTGGGCCTCAGGTGGTTTTCTACTTTTTTCAGAGAATCCTAGTTTTCAGTTTTTCAGTTATATGAATCATTGGTTGGAAGGAAACATAATTACGAAAGGAGTAAACTTTCTCTTTCTTCTTCTCTGGAGTTACTTAGAGCAGGCAGGGGAGGGGGAGCAGAGAGAATGCTCACCACAGAGAACTAGCTCCCGTTCCTGTGTTTCTTCCGCTTAGATGGAGGGTTCTCCCCTCCCAGGGAGCAGCCCAGCCTTTTTCCACCTCAGCACAATGACCAGTCTTGACAGTGTGGGCAGGAATTGAGCTAGTGTTCCTCCTTCTGGAGCGGGACAGGTGAAGGACTTCTTTGGGTTGGCAGATCTCTGGGGGCAGCCTGGCAGACCCAAAAGGAGTCAGGTATTCAGCAGGAGGGGACACTGGTCTTAAGCCGGGGAGTTCTGACCCAAGAGAAAGCAACCGGTCAATACAGGAAACAGAACTGACAGAAAACTTGTAGAAAGACACAGAGAGAGACACACACACAGAGAGACACACACACAGCAAAGACAACCAGGAGTAACCACTGCACATTCATGGACCTGACGGGATGGGAACTTAGGGAACACCTCACATGAGACACTGAATCATTCGCAGCATCCGTTCACCCCCTCTTACGTGTAAAAGCATAAGGTGCCTTTACCAGTCTCACCTCTTAAAGTCACAGGCCAGGTGACTTTCTAACTTGTTTCCCTTTGAGGTGGAGATGTCATATTCCTCCAACGCATTAGGCATCAATTGATCGAAGGGAGCCCTTGGGACCCCAGACTCAGGTTTTGCACCCAGAGGAGTCCCCTGAGGACAACACTCTTCCTCATTCCAAGGAGCTCAGAGACCCCAGGTATCTTGAGGTCTGGTCTCTGGGACCTCCAGAAGTGTTGTGGGGTATTCACCAGAGAAGACTGATCAGACATGGGCTTAAGCCAATAGAAATTCTTTATTAGCCAGTTGGTCACTAAACTGGGTGTTTAAGATCCCAGTGTAGCCTTGAGCCTTTTGCAGGGTGAGTCTTTAAAAACAAAAACTATACTCTGGGTTGACATACTTCAGCTAACAAGAGCAGTTAGCCAGAAACAGAACTACAGAAGCCAAAAAACAAGGTTAATACATTTAGAAACTTTCCCAAAACTGCGGACTTGGATAGATCAGGTTTTTGTTTTCCTTTTGGCAGGTGGTATTGTCTATGTGCTGAGTTTTATGACCTGACTGGTACTTCCATTATGGAGTCAGTTGTGCTAAGGTCTGGGGTCTGTTACAATATCTGTCTCACTTCCATACCTTCTCTATGCTGTAAGTTCCTTTCCCATAAAACAACATTATTTGGCAGGCCCCAGCCTACCCTGCCTCTAAGACAGCTCATAGAGCTTCAGAGTCAGGCCCTCGGCTGCTCATGAAGATCTTTTTACCCACGTCACTTTCTTAAGATCTTTGATCCACATCACTGGCTTGTTTTCCTCTGACTGTTATCTTTTCTCATTTTTTCTGTGTATTGTCCGTGTGTCTTCATCGTTCACACGGGTCTCCTTTGCGTCCAGATCACAGTGAAAGCAGATTGTTTTGCCCATGAGGAGCGCTCGGTGAATGCTGCAGTGTTGGGTGGCAGACACCGTCTTGAAGACCCCAGCTCCCTCCCCTCGGTCCCTAGTCTGTGTGGATAGTTAGGTCAGAGACAATGCCCTGACATGACACACAACAGCAGCAGCAGGACAACCACAGTCACACATCCCCCACCCCCAGGGATTCTGGCTTCTACTTCTTAAAGGCAGTGTCTGCTGACTTAGAACTCTCCTGTTTCTGCTCATTCTCATAAACCAAGTGGTTCCCCCACTGCTGACCGCTGTGAACCACGTCAGACTTCTTCAGAAGTCAACTAATACAACGATGCAGAAATGAGAGTTCGGGAGTGGGAGGATGGCTGCCTGCCACTCGGGACAGAAGGTTGAACATACTGAATCTTGGTCAGAAGTTACGGAGTTCTCAGATGATCTTCCTTCAGACACATGGCTGTCCTCAGCCAATTGCTGCATTTCCATTGGGAAATGTAACTGGGCTAGATTATGAGGGACTGTTAACTACCGGGTGGGGCTGGCAGAAAAGTCCTCCTGGCACATCTGGAAGAGAATTGAGACAGCAGAAAAGAATGTGGACTCTGAAAGCAGACAAATTTCAAATGCTGTTTCTGCTGCCTCTTGGCTTCAGAACGTGAGCATGCTGCAGGGCTGTTCTAGCACTCAGTCTCTCAGGGACACAGCGAGAGTAAACAATGGCATGCGTGTTAAAGCGTTGCTGTGATACTAAAGGGTGCAATGCAGGAAAACTATGTCACCTCCAGCAAGATCCCTGGCTTCTCTCTGAGCACCCAGGACGGTGGTAAGAATAGGACAGATCTTTTTCCCATTGCTTATCTCATCATTGTTGAAGAGAAGGCAGTTCTCATAAAATAATGTAGAAGACTGTGTAGGCTAAGCTGACATCATAAAGAGGTAAACATGCAGTGACTCAAAGCAGCCATGTGGTTTTCCACCACCTAATACTCAGAGATAAAAATTGATCCAAGCAGCTAAATGACTACATTCTATGAGACATTCAGTGACCCAGGCTATTTCCATCTTGCCACTTGGCCGTTCTCCTGGATAGTGTCCCTGCTGAATCATCAAAGCAGGGCCCTTGCCAAATCCATTTTCTGCTTTCAGGGAGGAAGAAGTGGCGTTTTACAGTCGAGATCCAGAAGACCCATTCTTGATCTGAGCTTCATTTATGTTCCTGGCTCCACCTAAGTGCTGGCCTCTGGGTCTAGGAAAGCATCTTTGGGGACCATATCTAGTAGTAACCTAGCCCTGGGAGGGAGGGAGAGGCTGAGAGGAATGGCTAGCAGGTTTCCACAAGGTTGATCAGCTTGGTGTACTAGATAGCCTGTTCATCCTAGGAGCTTTGACTGACACCTCTCATGCAGCAATGCTAGGCTTCATAAGGACTGAGGGATGACTTAGGTACCACCCTTGTCCTCCAAATACACTCTAAGGAGGATGGAGTCTAAGGAGGATGAGCAGAAACTCCACACATGGACGGATCCGTGAGGAAATCTGAACAGAACAAAGGCGCCCGCACTTAGTAGTGAAGAAGCAGCGAGACACTTTGCGGTTTTGCAACGCGGCTTAAGCAAGCAGGCTCTTGTCATTTTCATTCTTAGTGATCACATGCTCTTGGATGAGGATGACTCCTCTGGAGCCTGAGCTTTGGGACAGGTAGATCTGGGGCTGCAACTTCTGCCGTTTCCTTGGAAACAGTGACCATAGAAAGATTGTTTAGCATCCCTGCTGCTCTACAATGACTCAGGACTGAGTGGTGTCTAGTGGTTTCCCAGCTAGACTATTCCACGGTTCTCAGCGTTACAGAGAGAGCGTTACAGCAGTTCGAGCCCTCCTCCCTGGACAGACTGGCACAGCTTTTCTGATACAGCAGTTGTTTAGTGTGTGCCTGTCACTCCATGAGGCAAAGTTCCGGTCTCAGAAACAGGCACGGCCTAACTTGTGTGCCCATTCATTGGCAAATTGTGAACACCCCCGTAGGCATCGCTTCTCTCCATCTGGCCAACCTGAAGGTACCCAGAATTCTGCAAGGGTGTCCCCCAACCTCTAAATTACCCTTCTCTTCACCAGATGGATGCTGTCCTCAGGACCAATACCTTCGTTAGTCCAGACACGCTCAAGACCAGTTGTAGTCGTTCCCACCGAGACCTGAAAGGCTTGATTTAATGTCACCACTGCCTGGGATGTTCTGCTTTTTCCAAAGGATCTTGCTAGTCTTTAAAATCCAATGAGTAGTGGTACAGATTTCTAAGCCCCTGAGTTCTGATCAGTGATGGAGAAAATAAAATTTGGAGCTGAGGGTTTTTCCTGCGTGGATGAGAAATGCAGGGTGATGAAGAGAAAGGAAGTGGGAATAGAGGCAGAGATGGGGGTAGCGGTGATGGGTGGGTGGGCAGATGGTTGGGGATTGGAATGGCAAAGTGCCAAAAGGCACAGGAGCTGGCCCAGACAGTCTGAAGTGTGTCTCAGCTAAGTCCCTCGCTGTCTAACTTCGGGGAAATTTCTCAGCCTCACGTTTTTTCCACCAGTGAAAATGGAGATCCAAGTAGCGGTTTCTTCACTGGGTGGTTGTGGAAGGAAATGAGCTTCTACGTGAGAAATGCAGAACGAAGGCTTAACCCCGCGTCCGTGTGGTGGGGACCCCTCCGAAAGCCACCCCAGTCTGTCTGGGAGCGGCCCTGTGATGGGATTTTGATTCTTTCCTTCACCCAGGTTGGACTGAGCCCGAGGCCCCCAGCACAACGGCACTGCGTGTTTTCATTCCGTCCTTCATGGTCGCTCTAATCTTCATAGCCGCGGCCGTAGCCCTGAGCCTGAAGCTCTGCGGAAAGCTGCGTTCTAGACATCGGTGAGTGACTTAGAAGCTGCCAGTGGAGGCGTGAACCCCTGCTGATGCCCAGCCGCCTGTGACCTGCCAGTCTTCCCTGAAACACTTCAGGCCTAGGAGGGCTTTGAGACTACCCTGGGGACTTTTTGCCCCGAGGAAAAAAAGGTTCAGTCTTTAGTGAGCTGAACCCACACACAGCTTTTTTTTTTTTTTTTTTTTTTTTTTTTTTTTTTTTTTAAGGGGATGTTCGTTCCTGGGCTTCAAGAGTTTGCCTTGCACTCTGAGCCTGCAGAGTGCTGTCTTTTGGGTCAGACTGGCAGCATTTGCTGGTGAGAGGTTGCCAGGAGCCTCTCTGAGGATTCCGCTAGTCCCCATCTTCCTTTTTCTCGTTCTGGGCATGAGCTGGGTTAAACTTTCCTGGTCTCCTAGGAATTCACCCCTTCTGTCTGGGTGAGGGGTAGAGAGAGTCTTGGGAACCTTCTCAGTTTGGGGAGGTCCTTGTGAGCATCAGCTTAGCGTGGACCTTCTATCTACTCCTGTTCTTTTGAATCAGACAGGGCTGGGGCTGCCTGCAGCCTCTAGGCCTAAATAGAGCTGCTCTTGTGTCTGTCTGTCGTCTGTCTGCTCCTCACTTACTGGAAGGAGCCTGTCGCCAAAAACCCCAACCTGTCTGTTGCTTTCCTCAGTGGCGCCGAGGGGACACCCAGTGAACTTCTTTCCACGTCTACACTAGATTTGTCTGTCAAAAAGGAAATGGCCTCTTTGACTATTTTATTTGGAGTGGGGAGCACCAGCCAGGGGGAGGAGGGGTTGTCCTCCTGCACTGATAGTGATGTCATCCGTGTCCTCATCTGCTGAAGTACCCTGTGTTTTGTCCCCTGTCCTTTGTGGGCTTTCTCAGAGCTGATCACAAAACCTCTAACTGTAGAGTTGAAGGAAGTGCTGTGAAAAGAAAATAACATCTCAGCAGTCAGGGGGAGGTGGGGACTGGAGCATCGTGCTGTCAAAGGCAGTGAAACTCAGCCTCAGAAGGAAAAAAGAGAAGTGTGAGGAGGAGGAGGAGGAGGAGGGAGAAAGGGAGGAAAGGGGAGGGGAGGTAAAGGTGGCGGGGCAGGGGAAGGGAAGAAAGAGGGAAGACAGAGAGAGAATAACGGAGACAGAAGAGAGAAATGAGAGAAAGAAGCAGAGAGGCAGGCAAGAGATTTTTTTTTTTTTAAGTAGACAGGAAGGGAGCAGAAGAGTCAAGCAAGGCAATACTGAGTTTGCTCAACAGAACTTCTGTAAACCTGTGACCTCAGACCGCTGTGCAGGTGAAGCTCACTGAAGTCCCATGTCCTGCCTTTCACACAGATCTTACAAACAGAGTTTCTGGCCTGGGGCCTGAGAACCCCATAGTCCCTTCAGAGAGGACAGCTTAACTGTCCATGATAGTCAAGTTATGGAGTCAGCCCAGGTGTCCATCAATAGATGAACAGGTAAAAAAACAAAAACAAAAAACTGATGTGTGTTCAAAATAGAGCAATATTTAACCATCAAGGAAGATGAAATGTCATTTTCAGGGGGATGAGTGAAACTAGAGGCCATCGTTTTAAGCCTAACTCAGACAGTGCGGACAGATATTATATTTACTTTCATACACATATTCTAGATTTTAAAATAATAATAATACATGGACAGGGCACCTGTACCAGGGGAAAGGAGGTATAGAACGGTGAAAGGAAATGGGTGTGATTGATGTATGTTGTCTACGTGTGTGAAAAGCCATTATGATTAGGCTGGAGTGATGACTCTGTGGATACGAGAGCTGCCTTACAGAGGACCTGAGTTCCATCCCCACATTCGCATCTGGACACACGGTCACCTGTAACACCTTCTTCCAGCCTCCCCGGGAGCTAAGTCAGTTTACCAAAGGACCTGATTGGAGCTGTTGCTGAGGGCCTCGTGTGGAAGGGATTGGCTGTGCACAGCTGTGGCCAAGACAGGAAGTCCCGCCTGCCTCTGCAGCCATGTGTGTCTTGCATTGGTACTCGTGGCAAGTGACATATGAGGAGGCCTTGGCTGTAATTCGCTACCACTGTAGTGTATAGTCCTTCGGTCCTGCCCTGTAGAAGCTTCATTTCCTCCAGGTGTCTGCAGCCGCTGTGGAAAGGTCTCCTTGCTGGACCAGATCCCCATGAAGTTCACATTAAATTGTCATGGCTAAAGAGGTAGGGACTTCCTGACTTCTCAACAGCTACTCCGTGAGCCCCTTCCACACTAGACCCTCACGAAGAACCTGAGTCAGGAGCCTTAACTTGTCTTCTTCAGTTCTCTGATGGGCCATTGTTGTCCTGAGACTGAAGTAAAGCTAGAGATGTCTCTGATCCTTTCTTTCCAGAAGTCTCCTTGGTCCCCATACAGATTTACCCACCTGAATATCACAACTCATGGTGTCTAGTGTAGGACAGCCATTGCTGGTCCAAAATAATGCCTTACTAACCATTCCTTGCAAAGAGCCATTCAATAGTTCAAGGATCCAGAGTGACATGCTGCTCTGGCAAATTCTCCTGCAAAACTATCAAGTTCTTCATCAGTAAGGTCTGAGTTTCATGAGTATGAAAACTGTGTTTCTCTCATCAATAGATATATTTGCAATATCTAAAACATTATCTGGGATGTGTATAATGATACCTAATAAGATTGTAAGTGTTTAAATATTCTTATTCTATTTCTACTCATACATGCATACGCATACATGCATTCGCGCATGTATGTGTAATGAACTGTAGACATTTCGTCCCCCATTCCCTACTCTTACTCCCTTTCCTATTGACATTCTTCCCACCAAGCCCCCTCCTCCACTCTCATTTCTTCTTTCTGTGGGTGACTCACTGAGTCTGATTGGAGTTATTGACGGGAGCATGGGTGGAAGTCATTTAAAGAAAACTCAGTATATCAGTGGCTGTAACACTGAAGAAAATGACGCCCTGTCTTACAGCAACCATTAACTGCCAATAACCCCTTAGAAGGGGTTGGGAATCATGGATTCCTCTCTCTTGTCCATGGAGAAATGTTGACAGGACCAATCCGTGCAGGTCTTGAGTGGATAACCTTGCTATACTGGGTTTGTGGGTACCATGGCTGTGTCAATCTTTTTGTTGCCCATCTCCTGACCCTCTAACTCTTCCATTCTTTCTTCCCCCTCTTCCATAATGTTCCCTGAGCCTTGGAGGAGCGATACAGATATCCCATTAAAGGCAGGACCCTCCATTATTGCTTTCTGGACTTTGGCCAGTTATGGGTTTCTGCAATATTCACTAAAATTGTAGACATTGAGTCCACTATCTGTAGGTAAGCCTGCCAGACCTGTTCTTATTGATATAATAGCCACCTGTGGCCATTGGAACTTATGGCTTAGTAGTCATATTTAAAGCTTTCACACGTGGTAGCTAGAGGCCACAATATCGGACACTGCAGATATCAACATTCCCATCACTGCAGGAGATCCTATTGCATGGTACTGTGATAAATCCCTTCTAAATACCTTTTCTCTTAATTATGAGCTTTGCCTAAGGCAGGGAATGGCACCTTTATTTAGCCCATGAAGGGACTGAGGTTCAAAAAAGCCATGTGATCTCCTGAAGTCACACAACATAGACTCCACTGCAGATCCATAGGTCTGTTGGACTCTAAAACTTGTGACCCTTTTGTGACAATAAAAACTAGCCACCTGGATAGTATCAGCCGTAGGAGGGAAGAACAACTCTTCATCTAAAGAATTGAGTGGGGTTGTCATTCATGTATTAGACCAGCCACAAAGTCAGATCATAGTCCCATAGCAGTTACCTGTCACAGAGACTAGATTTATAGAATGTATTAAACTATGAGTTTCTGTGGAATAATCCTCTTGTACACTGTAAAGATTTGTCCAGTAGTCAGACAGGAAGTACAGATGGGGCGACCAGACTCAGCATGATGGGAAGGAGAACGGTGGAGTCAGAGGAGTGGCCAGCCTGATGCAGAGAGAGCCAGATGGGCACTCTGTACTGAGAGAAGTTACCGCCACGTGGCAGAGCATATGTAAGGAATACGGGTTAACTTAAAATGTAAGAGCTATTGGCCGAGCATTTATAAGTAATATTAAGTCTCAGTGTCTTTATTTGGGAGTTGCTGGCTGAACTTCTGCCCATAGTGGGTAGCTTAAATGAATGGGGATTCCAAAAAGCTTGGCAAATGGTGTCTGAACATGCAGTGACCAATAATCAATTCAAAATAAATTTATAGTGAATCTGGGGTGCTTGTCAGTGCTTACCCATGGTTCTGAACATGCAGCACACTTGGCACTGTGCATGCTGTCAATCAATGCAACATCAAGGGATGCTGCGGAAACACCTTCGGTCTGATCTGAGACTACTGTGTGCTATGATTTGCAGGGTTTTTCTTGTACATACAAAGCTTTATTATCTTACTAAAATATAATGCTTTAATTACAAAAAATTAACTTTCTTTTTAGAATTTTTTATCCATTTTACATACCAATCACAGTTCCCCTCCTACTCTTCCTCTCACTTCTCCCTTCTCCTCCTCTCCCCCTCCCCCGCCACCCGCCCTGTCTTCCCCCAGCCCACCCCCCATCCACTCCTCGGAAAGGGTAAGGCCTCCCATGAAGAATCAACAAAGTCTGGCACATTAAGTTGAGGTAGGACCAAGCCCCTCTCCCCACTGCATTAAGGCTGAGCATGGCATCCAACCATAGGGAATGGGCTCCACTGAGCTAGCTCATGCACCTGGGATAGATAGATCTGGTCCCACTGCCAGGGGCTCCCCAAACAGACCGAGCTACACAGCTGTCTCCCACATACAGAGGACCTGGTTCCGTCACATGCAGGCTCCACAGCTGTCGGTTGAGGGTTTGTGGTTTCCCATGAGCTTGGTTCAACTGTCTCTGTAGATTTCCCTGCCATGATCTTGGTCTCACTCTTGCTCATGTAATCCCTCCTCCCTCTCTTTTACTGGACTCCCGGGGCTCTTACTTTGTTTTTTTTTTTTTTTTTTCAAGTCAGGGTCTCACTATTTAGTGATAGTTGTCCTGGAACTCACTATGTAGTCCTGGCTAGCTAGGCTCTCCCTGAGATATACCTGTCTCTGCTTCCCAAGTGCTGGATTTAGAGGTGTGTACCAGTACACCACACAAAACACTTCTAATATTTTTCTACCATCATTCCTCAGCATGTATCAAACTCATATAACTTTGTATTTAGTTGCATTAGATATTTTATTTTTTTAAAATCTTTTCATTCTTGGCTCACATATCATTAAAACATTATTAAATAAATTTTGGTTTGCTATTAGGATAGAATTTCCAACAATTTCTGAAATGCCCCTAAATATACTTCTGCTAATTTGTACTATATATTTATGTGTTGATGTTCTCCATATTGTTAATTATAAATACAACCAAGTCACTAGTATACAAACTCTCTTTCATCTTTAATGAATGGTAAAATCACACATACACAAAGAATTGCTTTTAAATAAGTTTGTTATTTATTACAAGTAAATGCTTGATTTCTGTAGTTATCACCCCCCACCACACAGACACACACACACACACACACACTCAGAATTGCATAAAAATTTCTTGGTGAAAAAGGGGGTTGAAAGTGGAAAAAGTTTGGAACAAGTCTTCAGATCTTGAGAACCATGTTTCCCAAACTCCGGGCAAGAACCAGGTTTTGTGTGTGTCACTTTTGTGTGTTCAATTTTCAAAGTGTCATTTGTTGATACTTTCATAATATACACTGTAAATATTTTTGTTTGTTTGTTTTTCGAGACAGGCTTTCTCTGTAGCTTTGGAGCCTGTCCTGGAACCAGCTCTGCAGATCAGGCTGGCCTCAGACTCACAGAGATCCACCTGCCTCTGCCTCCCGAGTGCTGCAATTAAAGGTGTGCGCCACCACTGCCCAGCATGTAAATGAATTCTTAAAAACTGCAATGAAAAGCCAAGTATAGTGATGCATTTCTTTAATCCCCAGGCTCTGGAGGCTGAGGCAGGAGAATTTATAGTTTGAGATCAGTTGGGGCTACATAGTAAGTCTGAGGTCTGTATGTAACGAAAAAACACAAGGACATAGTAGTCCCAGCTTTTATTTGTATTTTATCTGTGTATGTGTGCAGGTGTGTGTGTGTCTATACATGTTCATGCATGACTGGACCACATGTGTTTGTCTGTGGGTAGAATACAGATATCAACTTTGGGTACCGCTCCTTGGGAGCCGTATACCACACAGAGTATCCCACTGGGATCTGAGGCTGGCCACCGAGGCTCAAGGATGCATTTATCACCCAAGCATGTGCTAGTACACTCAGTTTTTACACGGATGCCGGGGAGCAAGCTCAGGTCCTCACACTTGTGCGGATACTGTCTCACTAAGCTATCCTCCCACCCCTACCCCCCAGTGTTCATTACAGACAACAAATATAACACATTTCAATAACAGAATAACAAATTTTTATAGAAGTTTCTGAGTTTTAGTTTCAAATATTAATCCTCAGGGGATTGGGAACTGGTAACTAGCAGCTGTCACCAACACCAGCCTGAGGACTAAATTGCAGGTGTCCCAGAGTACCGAGTCACAACTTTGTAAGAATCTAAACCAAAAGCCAAAAATTTTGGTTTCTGGTTGCCCAAGGCCCCTGGAGAGCGACAACATTGACCTCTGGCAGCAGGGAGGCTGCCGCTGAAAATGGCAGAACTCCAGAACAGTTCCTCTGAGTTCACCACTGGGCTCCTTTTAAACAAAGATCTTTTTGAAGAAGATTTTGGCTATGGGTGTGTTATGGGATTGACCCTTGAAGCCCACGCCACGGTCAGGACGGTCAGGATGAAGTCAGTAAAAACCCGACCGGCAAAGAAGCAAGAGGAGCCGCGCAGGACAGTCCAGCCAGCTGAGTGTCAAGACTTGGAAGAAAATCTGATGGGGGGAGAAGCAATGCAACTAGAGGCTAAGGAAGAAATGAAACTAGAAAACCGTGCTGGTAACAGCAACTCAGCATGCACACATGTGCTTGTGTTCTCTTCATGACCCCGGACTGTAAATTAAACCACCAAGCCTATGTTCTACTCCAGGACAGGCAGGTACGAAGTGTCAGTCAAAAAGGATGTTCAGAAAAGCCACCAGGAGCCTACTATTATACAGGTCATATTTAACTTTTACCTAAGCTATGTATTCATATGATCTATATATTCTTATTATGGAATTAACTTAGGGTTACTCTACATAGGGGTAAATGATAATGGTCCTCCCAGAAGCCATAGGTGGCCAAACAAAAAGTCCAGGGGAAGATGTAAGACAGCTCCCCTCCAGGTGCTGCTCAGGGACATCCTGGAGATTCCCTAAACAAGAGAAGCTTACGGAAGACACAGGACTCAGGAATATTAAGTCGGTACCAACCTGAAGCTTCTCCCCGGCTGGCCAGCGTTCATAGTACCACAGATACAACGCAAGCTGCAGGTGAGGCGATAACGTCATCACGTTCTGATTGAATCTAAGGCCCACTCCACAGGAGGAATTGCTTGGCTGGTACTGTATCTGAGGCCAGGAACCTGTGATCGGAGAGTTTGTAGGCTCTGAGTGTGAGCCTACCACAATGATTTTGCTAAGAGGACAATAGTATCATCCTGCTCTCTAAATCTGTATCTTTAAATTCATAGATCAGTGCCTCTCCCAGAGCTCGTCACACAGTTTCTTTATACAGTGGACCATGGTTGGCACAGACACTCACAATTGCTCAAAGTTTAGAAAATAATTGTCCGTGGAGAGCTCAGCTACAACAAGACATCTAGATCACACCCACATCCCTTTAAGCTTATGGACTGTCATAGTCAGGGTTTCTACTGCTGCAGTGAAACATCACGACCAAAAAGCAAGTTGGGGAGGAAAGGGTTTATTCTGCTTACACTTCCATATTCCTGTTCAGCATCAAAGGAAGTCAGGACAGTGGACTGGGTGGTTTTGTGTGTCACACTGACAAATCTGGAGTCATCAGAGGGGGGAGCCTCTGCTGGGAAATGCTTCCATGAGGTCAAGCTGTAAGACATTTTCTCATTTAGTGATCAATGGGGAAGGTCCAGCCCATGGTGGGTGGTGCCATCCCTGGGTTGGTGGTCTTGAGCTTTATATGAAGGTAGACTGAGTAAGCCATGGGAAGAAGTAAGCAGTTCCCCTGTTTGAGTTCCTGTCCTGACTTCCTTCAGTGATGACCAGCAACGCTGAAGTGTAAGCCAAATAAACCCTTTCCTCCCCAAGTGGCTTTTTGGTCATGATGTTTCATCACAACAATAGAAAATCTAATTAAGACAGGTAGGAACTCAAACAGCGCAGGAACCTGGAGGCAGGAGTTGATGCAGAGGCCATGGAGGGTGCTGCTCCATGACCTGTTCCCTATGGCTTTCTCGACCTGTTTTCTTGTAGAACTCAGGACCACCATTCCAGGGTTGGCATCTCCTCTGTTGATTACTAATTAAGAAAATGCCTTACAGCTGGATCTTATGGATGCATTTTCCCAGGTAAGATTCCTTCCTTCAAGATAACCCTAATTTGATCATCAGGTTGACATAAAACCAGCCAGTAGAGAGATCATGAAGGAGGAGGAAACAGATTGTAAGAGTCAGAGTTGGGAAGGGCAGACCCAAAACCGTGTCTTCTGGATGTTGATGGGACTGTCGCACTCATGAATCCACAGCAGCCATGGCTACCTGCACATGGCCGACACCAGAGAAAGCATTTACAATATCCCAGCATGGAGCAAGGAGGGGCTCATGGGCCCCCACGCCTATCTGAGAAGTTACTGACAGTCGACGTCTTCTGGGGGAGGGAAAAATCTGTTTTCTTTAAGGGTGTGGCCCCTGGTATGGATGGTTCCTTATCCTGAGTAAATGGGCGGCACACAGGAAAACGAAGAGTTAGGAGGGCTTGGGGGAATAGGGGTGCATATTGGGGCAGTATGGGGGGATGAATATAATCAAAATCCATTCTATGCATTTATGAAACTCTCAAAGAATTAATAAGACATATTTTTGAAGGTGGAAAGGGAGGAGTAATACTGAAGCTAGACATCTCTGGGATCTTTGCTTTGCAGACAGTGAATTCCACTACCACAATACAGAAGTGAACAGAACTATGAGCAAACATGGTTTTGCTTTCTTTCTCCTCTTCTTCTCTATCTCAGCTTGAATTGGTAAATTCAATTGTCCCCCAGTATTCATGGGAACTGGGTCTAGGCTGACTTACATTAGTGAATCCTCTAACTTTTCGGTAAAATGGCCCAGTATTTGCAGACATAACACCTGCACACAGGCTTGAAATCATTTTGACTACTTAAACTCTCTGTTGCCGTGCAAATGCTTTGCAAATAGTAGTGACACTGTGTTGTTTACAATGACAACAGGCATGTATTAGTTACTTTTCTCAGTGCAGCAACCAAACGCCAGAGAAGAAGCAGCTTAAGAGAGAGGTGTATTTGGGACCGTGGGCTGAGGGGCTGAAGTCCGTCATGGAGTGGAAGGCGTGGCAGCGGGTACCTCCATGGCAGTGGGAGCATGTGTGACAACCGCTTGCTCACTTCTCAGTTCCACAGGAAGTACCTGAGTGACAGGAAGTAGGAACAAGCTATTAACCTCAAGGTCAAACCCCAGTAACCTACTTCCTTCGGCTAACTTCCACCTCATGGAGGGTCCGTGCCCTCCCGGACGGCATTAAAAGCTGGGGACGACAGATTCAAACCCAGGAGCCTGTGAAGGACATTTCTCCTTCAAATGGTAACAAAACGTCTGTTAATGTCTGCTCTAGCCTACCAGAAGCCTATTTTTCCACTCATCGAGAAAGTGATAGGAAAGGAGCCACGAGGAAGGCGACACTAGAGGCATGGTTGGGTGCTCCAGCTTCATAGTTCCCAGGTTGCCACTGTTTCTGTTTTGTTTTGCTTCTCTGCCCTCTGGAGGCCTCTCTCGTGCAGAAGTAGGGTGCTGTGACTGTCCTCCCAGCTCTCAGATGGACCACGGGTGGAGGAATCGTAGGTTCTATGCAGAAAGTGGGGCAGGTCCTAGGGCCTCCAGCAACTTCCAGGGTCCCCTCCAGCGGGCCTGGATGGATACAATTGTTTCCCTGACCTGAAAATGGTAGGGGAGTTTAAAGCATCTAATTTTGAGCCTCCAAACATGGAAGGCTCCGGAAAACTCAGTCTTCGTTTTCTAACAGATATTCTTATTTCCTGTGTTATAAAATATGTATTTTTGTTCTTTCATATTTCAAAGCCCTCAGTTTAAGTGTTCCGTCCTACATCATTTTAACAATCTCATACCTCCAAGATAGCCTAATCCAGATCCCGTACCCTCCATAGATGCTTTCCGTGAAATGCATTTTGAGAGGCACACTATGTGGCCGTGCCAGGGTGGGTACACACATGCTCTCCCATTCCACCGCTCGGCAACCCTGTCTCTGGATCTGCCGGAATCTTTGGATAGATTGCAGTGTGAAAACAGCTGCCAGGGCACTCAGTGGTGCCTACCGTCTGTTCTCCCAGACATCCCCAGGCGCCCTGTCAATGTGATCTCAGTGTTGCCAGATTCAAGGATGTGCCATCCTCTGTCTCCTCTGTGGGTAGATGTGAGATGGAACGACGTGGTTGGTGGCTTAAACGGTGGCTTTAGCAATACACTCTTGATTTTACTCCTTGTCTTAGTCAGGGTTACCATGGCCGTGACAAAACATCACGACCAAACAGCAAGCTGTTCTGCTTATGCTACTGTATTCACTGTAGAAGGCCATCAGGACAGGAACCTGGAGGCAGAAGCTGATGTTGAGACCACAGAGGGGTGCTGCATACTGGCCTGCTCCTCATGGCTTGCTCAGCCTGCTCTTTTATAGAATCCAGGACCACCAGCTTGGGGTGGACTGGACTCAAACAATGGTCTAGGCCCATCCTCATCAATAACTAACTAAGAAAATGTCCTTCAGCTGGATCTTATGGACTATTTTCTCAATCAAGATTCCCTCCTTCTAAGTAACCGTAGTTTGTGTGTCTCGTTGACATAAGACCGGCCAGCACACACCTGGATCTTAAGAATACCATTTTCTCAGAGAATAATCCTTATAAAACTGTATGCTTTACTTGTGAAATAGTAAAATGCCATTTTAATCCTTAAAAACTAGGGGAAAAAATTATCCACAAACATTCAGTGTAGATAGTTTTTTGTTTTGTTTTGTTTTGTTATTTCAAATATTTTCAACCTATAGTTGGTGGACCCAGTGGGTGTGGAATATGGAGATAGAGATGGGACAGTTGTATCCATGGTTGTGCTAATTAGTTCAAGGAAGTTGAACAGGATCGGTGTGCACAGAGGATTCTTTAGTTGGTAGCATTTCTACCAAGCTTGTTCTGACAGTTGTGCTTCACTCCGTGTCTTCGTTGGAGAGCAAAGGTGGCATCCATTTCAGTCCAGGAACAGTCACGCCATTCTTGGTCTGCATCCCTAAATTCTCCTAGCTGGTACTGCATGACAAGTCTGTACTGGTGAAGTTAGAAACACAGTCAGACTTCACTAGGGAAACAATAGCTCAGCTGGGGTGCAATTGGCTGAGGGTGTTTGCAACCAACAGGGATTAAGAACTATGTTGTGGGGCTGAGCTGGGAGCAGCGCAGGGGTAATGAAGCCTCTTGATGAGGGTGACAGGCTCCCAGCTGGTATTGGTGACAGAGAAGGGATGGCCTGGGGGTGTCAGAAGGCAGAGTGTTATGCTACTGTCAGTTGGTTGAATGGAAGGCATAGGGCTTGGGAAGCAGTGCTTCTGGGATCAGATAGGCTTGGGTCCTGTGGGGCAATGGGAAGTCTAGCGTGGTGAAAAGCCACTTCTTCTGTGGTCTAGCAATGATGTGGTGTGGCACTTGTGTTGACCAAAGTGATACAGGAGAATCAGACTTCGATTTACTTTTGTGTCAGAAACTCAGAATATTCAAGTGAAATTTTCAATTTTAGAATTTGCTGTGGATAACAGCCCAATTCCAAAGCTACCAGTTGTGGAAACAACCCTAGAAAGCCTTTGGCTCAACCGTAAGAGATGGCAGTCATCAATACAAATAGGATGAAAGAGAGTTAGTTACCATGGGCCTTCAGCCCTTTGCCCATGTCTCCCAACAACTGGTCTGAAAGTCATGTCTGTGGGCCCACAGCCTGGGCACAGAGCCAAGGAGAAGAAACGCAGCGTAGGTCAGGTCCATCCTGAAGTTTGATTACACTCAGCTCTGAGTCAGCAACTCGATATGCCTGACTCAACAGTTTCCCATCAGCCCTGGCAAGCCTGATGGAAATGTCTGTTTCCCCAGAAATGAAAATCCCAAGGAAAAAGGATATCCTTGACCCAGAGGCACCTGCTTGTGTCGGTCCTATAGGCTCAGTGTCTTTCTATAAGTGACTCCTTCAACTGCTCAGGATGGACGAAATGGGATAGGCTGAGAGCAAAGGTGGGAAGCTCTGATTTCCAGCCGGCAGGTGGTAAAACAAAAGGCGGGCGGAGGTGACTAGAGAGGGAGTGGGGATGGCAGTCAAGTGGGGAGCACAGCTGCTAGCTCCGCTCTGACTTGTCACTGCCAAGAAGAAGGAAAGGTAGATGTTTAGGTAATGTCTGCTGGTTATTAAATACGAGAGGAAAAGATTTTTATGCCAAATTAGCCAAATCAAATACACCCACCGGGGATCCATCTGCAGTTAGTGTCCGGGCTAGGGGTGACATACCAACAGCCAGCCTTGAGGCATGGGTCATTGGGCAGAAACAAGGATTTAAGAACCCAAAGGACACATAAAGACTTGTTCAGTCTCCTGAATGCCTCACCTCTTGCATGCCCACGTGTAGTGCAGTATTAAAACATCCTAGCTGAGTCAACAGTACCAAGAGTATCTTGTAACAAGCATGTATCCCTATAACCCGAAAAGCCCGAGTCCTTCTTATCTGACTTGAAAAATGGGGTGACTAGGGCGGAAGGGAGAAGATAACCAGGAAATCTGGTCCCTGTTGTTGGGGGCCAGGGTCTCTCCAGAGAAACAGAGCCTGGGGTGGGGGCAGGGGAGTGGCAGAGGGAAAGACAGGTAGATTCGTTTTAAAGGATTGGCACCCCTGATGGTGGGAACAGTGAGGCTGTGCTTTGTGGAGTAGGGCAGCAGGCTGGAAACTGAGGCAGACTTTCCACATTACAATGTTCAGGCATTACAATGTTTCGTCTCTGGGAACTGGGCTTATTCTCAAGTCCTCCCTTGATTGGGAGGGATCTACACTTTGGGATATAATCTGATTAAAGGTGACTCGATACCACAAGTTAATGACATCTATAAAGCTCATGGCAATATCTAGACTGTCACTCAGTATGACAGTGGGTGCTGCAGACTATCCAAGTAGATTGAGCAAATTAACCAAGAGATGAGGGAGCAGTCTTGGCCACGTACTTTGGCCTCGTGTGTGGGGTTAAGTCAACTTGTTGTAACTGCCAGAGGCTTTAAAAACAGAAGTAAAGGACCTGGGAATGGTTCAGTGGTTAAGAGAGCTTGTGACTCTTGCAGAGGACCTAAGTTCAGTTCCCAGCATCTATGTTGAGCAACTCACAACCGCCTGGAACTCCAGCTCCAGGGCATCTGACACGCTATGAAATGTTTTGTCATAGCGCAACTGTCTGTGGCCATAGAACTGGCGGGGGAGGGGGACCTCTTGTAAGTGCTGGGAAGAAAGCTAGACTGGGGCAATCCATGATAGAGAGAAGGGCATGAATGACTTTTTTTTTTTTTTTGAGTTCTTTCTTCTTCCAGTCGATTTTGAGAGTTTACATATGCTCTAATCAGAACAGTGATTTCTTTATTTTTCTGCTTGCCTTCTCTTTTTCCCCAGATCTGAACCTGTGGCCTTGAAGGTTGGGATCATCTGATTGGGACACCTTTTAGAGGCTCTGGACTCTGAGTGAAGGTGCCTTGGCCTGAAGAACCTGCCCTTTGCACTTTTCAAATGCTGTGGACGATGACCCGGCACTGCCATCAGGAGTGTGCAAGACTGA